GGAGGCACAGTGAATGGGAAGGAACCAGAAGGGCACTGAAGGGTTCGGGGAAGAAGTCAGGGAGGGCTTCCTGGAGAAGGTGATGTCTGAGTCCTGTCTTAAGGGAAAGGAGCAAGGATAAAGGATTAGTTTGGTGGGGGAGAAGCACTGAACACCCCTTTGCAGGAGCTGATCTCGCCATATGCCAGGCATTGTTCTAAGCGCTTTGTAGGTCTTAACTCCTTTTATCCTCACAAGACTCCTATGAGGCAGGCGCTGTTTGTATCTCCATTTAATATATGCAGAAAGTGGGCACAGAGAGTTAATTAGCATGTCCAAGATCACCAGCTCGTAAAGGGGAAGAGCTGAAGAGCCAAACCTCAGACTAACCTGAGGATCGTGCTTGCAACTATGTTGCTGTCCTGCTCTGCCGAGAGAAGGTTCAGGGTCAGAGCCTTTATCAGAGCCGGAATTTAATTACATCATTTCTTTTTCATTGTACGAACTGTTGTAAATTTCTTTTACCTGTGCAAATTATTTATTTTCCCCATATGATAGTGACATAAGGGCTTGTAAGTGCGTTTATTTTCTTACCTTTCTATTATCGTAAAATATACACGATAAGAAATTAAGTGTGCAATTCAGTGGCGTTAGGTATATTCATGATCCTGTGCAACCATCACCAGTATCCACTTCCAGGACTTTTTCGTCATCCAGAACAGAAACTCATTACTCAGAAGCTCCATACTCATTAAGCCATAACTTCTCGTTCTCTTTTTTCTTTAGCCCATGGTACCCATTATCTTACTTTCTGTCTCTATGAATTTGCATATTCTGAGCACCTCATGGGAGTGGAATCATTCAATATTTATCTTTTTTTATTTAGCTTATTTCACTTAGCATGCTGTTTTCAAAAATCATCCATGTTAGAGCATACATCAGAATTTCACGCCTTTGATGGCTTCCATTGATGGCTATACCAACTTCCCTTACGCATTCACCCATTGATGGACATTTAGTTTGTGTCCACTTTTTGGCCATTGTGAATAATGCTGCTGTGGGCATAGATGTGCACCTTTTGTATGGATATGTTTTCGATGCTCACCGACACTTTTTAACCTTATTGATAATAGCCATTTGAACAGATGTGAGATGGTATCTCATTGTGGCTTTAATTTCTAGTTCTCTGATGATTAGTGACACTGAACAGTTTTTTTCCTTTTTTTCTTTTAGTAAGTCATATATGCATAGATCATGAATACATTTATGCCTTTGTGGGGTTCAGTGTGTTGATTATTTGTACAAATTGGAGTGCTTACATCCTACTAATTAACACAGGTTTCACCTCATTTACTTAATCACAGTGTTAAGGCATTGGTGTTCAATACTTGATAGATTTGACTTGTACCCTTGCAATATGCTTCATAGGTGTGGTCCCCCCACTAATCCTGCCTATATGGAACCACTCCCCTCCCTTCCCATCCCTCTCTGGTTCCCTCCTTCATCCTGGGCTATAGCTGTGATTCATCTCTCATATGAAAGTGTGAGTGATTATATGAATACCTTTTGTATTTGTTGGCCATTTGCATGTCTTCTTTTGAGAAATGTCTATCCAGGTGGTCTGCTCCTTTTTCAATCAGGTTATTTGTTTCCTTGCTATTGAGTTGTTTAAGTTCCTTGTATGTTTTGGATATTAACATATTCTCCCGTTCCCTAGACTATCTCTTCACTCCGTTGATTGTCTCCTTTGCTATGAAGGAGCTTTTTATTTAGATGTAATCCCATTTGTCTATTTTGGCTTGTGTCGCCTGTGTCTTTGCAGTTTTGATTTATATCCCCTGATGGCTAATGATGCTGGGCATCTTTTTGTGTGTGTCCGTCTTCTTTGGAGAAATGCCCATATCAATCCTTTGTCCATCTTTTTTAATTGGGTTGTCTATTTATGTTCTTTATATAAGTTTTTTTATATACTTAGAATACAAGGCCCTTATAAGATATGTGATTTACAAATTTTTCCCATTTTGTGGGTTGTCATTTCACTTTTATGTCGGTATGCTTTGAAGCACCAAACCTTTTAATTTTGATGAAGTCCAGCTTATCTTTGCTTCCTTTGGTTTCTTATGCTTTTGCTGTCATATCTAAGAAACTTTGTGTGATCCAGGATCACAGATATGTTTGCCTGTGTATTATGCTAAGAGTTTTATAGTTTAATCTTTTACATTTATACCTTTGATCCATTTTGAGTTAATTTTTTATGGTGTTAGGTTGGAGTCCAAGTTCATTCTTTTGCATGTGGATATCCAGTTGTTCCAGCACCATTTGTTGGAAAGACTATTCTTTCTCCCACTGAATTGTCTTGGCATCCCTGTCAAAGGTCATTTGACCATAAATGTATGAGCTTAGTTCTGGACTCTCTATTCTGTTCCACTGGTCTCTATGACTATCCATACATCATCACCACCCAGCCCTGATTACTTTAGCTTTGTAGTAAATTTTGAAATTGGGAATTGTCAGTCCTCCAACTCTGTCCTTGTTTTTGAAGATCGTTCTTTTGCCTTTCACTTCTACATAGATTTTAAGATTGGCTTGTCAGTCTCAGAAGATAGCTGGGATTTTGACAGACCTCGTGCTGAATCTGTAGATGAATCTGGGGAGTGTTGCCATCTGAACAATATTAAGATTTCCAATCCATAAACATAAAATGTCTTCCTAGTTATTGAAACCTTTAGTTGATTTCAATTATGTTTTACAGTTTGAAACGTACAAGTCTTGCTTTGTTTCATTCCGTTTATTCTTAATTTGTTATTTTCTATATTATTTGTACCTATATTTAAAAATATAAAATGTTTTAGGCGCAGTTGAATCCCAACTCAACCCCTTAATGTATGGTCCTGCGCAAGCCCCCTCACTTTCTGCCTCTTAACAAGTTTCTCTTCTGAAAAATGGGGACAATAATCTCTACCTCACAGTTTTGACAGCAGGAGTAAATGAGACGACGTAAGTGCCCAGCACAGTGCCTCACACATAAAGCGCCTTCTCCTTCTTGGCCACCTTCACCGTGCAAAACCTAAGACAATAAGGTCCAGAAGAATGCTCACATTGAGTCCCTGTGGAGAATTTCTCCATGACTTTGTATATACTCAGAGCTGAGTCCACATTTGGAGGGGTTTTGTGAAAGCCCCGTGTCTCCCCGCCAAGGGAAAAAGTAAGGAGTCTACCCTTACTTGAGGTAGATTTTCTCTTGTTTCACTGCAAAAGGACATTATTGACTTTCTATGACTTTCCTGCTCATAACCTCATTTATTCAGCATAGACCTGTGAGTATGTTTTAGCATTTTTCCATGTTTCAATGAGAAGATGAAGACTCTGAGTAGTGAAGTGACTAGTCAGGGGCGCACAGTCATCAAGTAGCACAGTGGGGACCTGAGCCCTAGGCTGTCTGGCTCAGGCCCAAAGCTTTTGGCTTTGCTTTTGCCCTTGCTGTGAAGACTCCTCAGTCTCAATACATTCCCTTAAAGGGAGGTGTGTACTCCTCCGAAACCCCAGCCAGGGCTCCAGGACCTCAGTAGTGATGGGTACAAGTTCCTGCTTCTTGCAGGGCAGCTGGAAGGAAAGCAGAGTCAAGGACAAAGCTTTGAACCCAAAGTTCTTGGTAAGGACATCGGGGCATCTGTGGACTAGGGATGGAAAATATACACCTTTATTTTCCTTTACCTCTTATTGAAATTTAGCATTTCCTTTCGTTTTTAATGTAGACAACAACCTGTAGTATTATTGGCAATACCTATAAATTTTTCACCAATAGAAATTGCAGACATTTTTGTGTTCCTTCACAATTGCTACCAATATCATGAATCATTATTGACATTACTAGATTTGCTGCTGAATCCTGTTATTTAATGCAGTAGTATAGAGTCATGTACACAACTGTATCCTAATGCCTTAATATTTTAATAACTATAACAAATAAAATTGATTTCCTTTGTAAGTCTCTGCATTTTATTATTCAGAGAAAGGTCCACTGACCATCCAGGCAGTTCATCTCCTGGTCTAAGAAAATAAGTCCAAATTGACCTAATGTCAGACAGGTGACCATTATTTTTCCAGTGGAATGTGAACCAGACTCTGAACCTGTTTCCTTCCATTCTTTTTCCCCAGCAGAGGTCCGGCCCAGTGGGAGACCTGTCAACACTGCCCGAGAACCGCCACTCACACAAGCCTCGGGTATGTACAGTCCAGATCACTGGCTCGAGAAACTGATATTACTTTTTTCACTTCGTTAGCCAGAACCATGTACTTGAATTTCTGAGTGCCCAGTGGAAGGGAATAAAAACTATCTACAGACCCAGATACATAGACCCAGGTCCTGCTCAGAAATGGTGACATTTTCAAGACAAGTATAGTGTCTTTGAAAATGTCACATCCAGAACTAGACACAGATGCACATGCATAACCTGACCAAGGCAAAATTGTCGTAGACTATCGTGTCCACTTCTGAACCTTCTACTTTTATTTTCCACATCAGCGTGTGTTTTGGTACAGGACGCAAGACTAGATTTGGCATCATGAACTCAATTTAAGTGCTATTTTGGTCCCTGACCAACTGTGTCCTTGGGCAAATGAACTTCGCCTTAAAGCTCCATTTTGCCTTCTGGTTAAAAAAAGGTTCGCAGACCAGGCAAAGTGGCTCATGCCTGTAATCCCAGCACTCTGGGAGGCTGAGATGGATCACTTGAGCACTGGAGATCAAGACTAGCATAGGTAACACAATGAGACCCCAGCTCCACAAAAAACTTAAAAGTTATCTAGGCATGGTGGGGCATGCCTGTAGTCCCAGCTGCTCAGAAGGCTGAGGTTGGAGGGTGAGGATTGCCTGAGCCCAGGAGTTCAAGGTTGCAGAGAGCTATGATGGTACCACTGTACTGCAGCCTGGGTGGTAGGGACCCTGTTTCAAAAAAAAAAGTGGGTATCATAATACTTGCCATAGAGAATTATTACAAGGGTAAATGATAGTTTTAATACGTGCTTTTTTCACCCAACATCTTGTAGCATACACTTTACATTAGATCATTTATCTTCTACAGTAACGCTAATGAGGTAAGTGGGATATCCCCCCAGATGGGGACTACAGGTGTAGACTGTGCGGGTGAGAAATTTAAGGCTCTTGGGCAGCACCTGTGGCTCAAGGAGTAGGGTGCCAGCCCCATATACGGGAGGTGGTGGGTTCAAACCCAGCCCCGGCCCCCCCAAAAAAAAACTGCAAAAAAAAAAAGAAGAAAGAAAGAAATTTAAGGCTCTGGCACATGATCAAACAACTGATAAAGGACAGAGCTAAGATCATAACCCAGATCTATCCGACTTGGTTAGCCCATGTCTGTACATCACGCCATACTGACATGGCAACTCACTCTCTCTCCTCACTGTTTCCCTTGCTCCATCTTTTACACCTCTTCACTCTTTTTTTTCCCTCTTTTCTTCTTTCTTCTCTCCCTTCTTTCTAGCTTCCTCTCTTCCTTTCTTTCTTTAATTTTATTTTTAATCAAAAATAATGAATGAAAAATAATAATTGTATGTATTTGTGGGGTACACCGTGATGTTGTGATATGTGTATACATTGTGGGGTGATTAAATCAAGCTAAGTAACATATCCATTGCCTCCTCTGGTTCTCATTTTCTTATGGTGAGAGCATTTAAAATCTACTCTTTCAGCAATTTTAAAATATACAGCATATTATTATTAACTACAGTCACCGCACTGTGCAAAAAGTTTTCTTACTAGGGCGGCACCTGTGGCTCAGTGAATAGGGCACCGGCCCCATATACCAAGGGTGGCGGGTTCAAACCCAACCCGGTCAAACTAACACAAAAAAATAGCCAGGCATTGTGGTGGGTACCTGTAGTCCTAGCTACTTGGGAGGCTGAAGCAAGAGAATCGCCTAAGCCCAGGAGTTGGAGGTTGCTGTGAGCTGTGTGACATCACAGCACTCTACACAGGGTGACAAAGTGAGACTCTGTCTCTATTAAAAAAAAAAAAGTTTTCTTACTAAAATTTTATACCCTTTGACGACATCTACCCAGCCTCTGTAACCACTATTCTACTCTCTGCTTCTATGAGTCCAAGATTTTTAGAACCCATATATAAGCAAGATCAGGCAGCATTTGTTTTGGTAAGGGCATTGAGGCATCTGTGGACTAGAGATGGAAAATATACGTCCTTATTTTCTTTTACCTTTTACTGAAATGTAACATTTCCTTTAATTTTTAATGTAGACAAAAACCTGTAGTGTAATTGGCAATACCTATGAATTTGTCGCCAGTAGAAACTGCGGACATTTTTGTGTTATTTTCCAATGTTACCAATATCATGCAATAATGCCTTCTAGGTTCATCCACATTGTTGCAAAAGACAGAATTTCCTTCTTTTTAAGAGCTGTAGTATCCCATTGCTTATCTGTATCCCATTTTCTTTATCTATTACTTCATTGATAGACACGTAGATTGTTTCCCTGTCTTGGCTATTTTGAGTAGTGCTGCAGTGCAAATATCTATTGGACATACTGATTTTAATGACCTCCACCCAGCCACTCTGAAACACAAGAGGATCGCAGGAGGCTGGAGCCTTCTACCAGCCCCTACCCCACACGTTAGGCTTTGAGGAAAAGGAAACAATCTCAGAGAGTGAACGAGGGTCAGTCATCAGATGGCCCCAATTCCACCAGTGCACACACAGTTCTTCTTACATCTGTTTCTCAATTCCTCTAGTTCCTGGGGATGTTTTTGCCAAGAATTCTCTGTGGAAAGGGGCCTATGAGTACCAGGGGAAGAAGCAGCCGGCCATGCTCAGAGTGACTGGTTTCCAGGTTGCCAACAGCAAGGTCAATGCCACCATGATTGACCACAGTGGTGTGGAGCTTCACTTGGCTGGTAAGAAGCAGGCACCTCTGTCAAAGCAGCAGACGTGGTCAGGGAGGATGGCAAGGATGAGCCTAATGTCATCCCATGATACTGTCACACAAGGCGTAGACATGTCTGGTGGTCAGGGAACAAGAAGATGGCTAATCATATTTATTTGCATGAGAAAGCACCACCAGTCCATAGGAAATGGTTAGCTGGCAAACATCAACGGTGTGGAAAAGAGACTGATATCCCTTAAATTGAGCCAAAAAGTTGGGACAGATGGGCAGCACCTGTAGCTCAGTGGGTAGGGCACCAGCCACATACACCCAGGCTGGCAAGTTCAAACCCGGCCCAGACCAGCTAAACAATAATGACAACTGCAAGAAAAAATAGCCAGGCGTTGTGGTGGGTATCTGTAGTCCCAGCCACTTGGGAGGCTGAGGTGAGAGAATCGCTTAAGCCCGAGAGTTTGAGGTTGCTGTGAGCTATGATGCCTCTGCACTCTACCGAGGGAGATACAATGAGACTCTGTCTCAAAAAAAAAAAAAATTGGGGCAGAGGGTTCTTAGAAGCCAAAGAAGTACAGTCAACAAACAAAATAAATATTTTTCAGCAGTAATCAAAAAGAAAATAAAAGTAAACACAAAATGTCATTTTCCATTTGTCTGTCAACTCAGAGTTCTTTAAAGTGGTAACCCTTAGCTGTTTGGGTTCAGCAGTGATCAAAGTCTAAAATAATACCATTCTAGAAAACAATTGGGCAGTCTTTGTCAAGATCCTTGAAAATGTTGGACCCATCAATTACATTTCCAACAATTTTTATCGTAAGAAATTGAAATGAAGGGAGTCAAACATTTAAGATAAAGGATGTTCCCATTACAGGGGACACTTGTATTATATGGAAACTGGAACTAGAAAACATGCCCGAAATAAAGAAATGGTATTTTAATTATAATATATCCACTGGGTAAAATAGTATGCCAATTTGGGGACAAACATAGCCATTATAATGTACATTAAATGACTTCTAGTTTTTAAGGCAAAAAATTTATATTGATAAGAAAGAAAACTGGAAGCATTTACACCAGCATATCAGCAGTGTCTATTTCCCTGTAGTAATACAGCTGGAAGGATTTTATTTTTCTTCATGAATCTCTGCATTTTCCAAAATGGCCCCAATTTTCAATCTTTCTATAATGAGAAAAAGTAACTATCTGAGGAAACAAGTATTTAAATAGATGGATAGCTAGGTGGATGCCTGAGAGAATGAATGAGCGTTAAACATAGTAATACGTGTACACAACCCCACATATAAGCAGCTCATTCAAACATGCACACACATACACAATTATACAGTTCTATTCCCTCGGTTGCTCTAATACCACGTACACAGTCATAAACACACTGACGTCCCCCCATGTGCATGAATGCCTTCATGCCTTCCTGTACCCGCTGAATGACAAACATACCCATGCATTGAAAGGTTACTAGACATAAAATAAAATCCTCATATGTGTGTCTAAAAATTGGATGACAGTCTCAGCCCAGTAATCCAGTTATTAACACACTCAGGCACATTCTTTGATGCTTTCACATTCAGCCTGTAAAGACTCACATGAAACAACAGAAACACTAGACTTACCTCTTAAAAATATGCAGGGGGTGTTTATACATCTACACTTGAAATTCCACTCAAAACTCACATCCACATGCCCACAAATTTGGGTTTTGTTCTCAGATCTTTCCAATATTATCCCTGAACTTTCTTTTCCCCAGGAATTTATAAGAAAGAAGATTTCCATCTGCTGCTCCAAGTGTACCAGATCACAGGGCCCGTGGAGATCTTTGTGAACAAGTTCAAAGATGATCACTGGGCTTTAGATGGGCATGTAAGTCTGACAGATTGACCCCCTCTACTCTGCCCCATCCCTCATCCCCAAGTCACTGCCAGAAGGAGGGGGACAGAAGGCTGTGGAAATTCTTAGGATCAACGTGGAGACCCGGAAGGTTTCCTGTGGGGCCAAGACTGAGAGCAGCACAGGAGTCCACGCTGCCATTGAAGCAGGCAAAGGAAAATACAAAAAGAGACAGAGGATTCAGAGTCAGAGGGTCCCTCATCTGGGAGAGATGGAGTGAGCTCAGCCATTGGAGCCCAAAGCAAGCGATTGGAGGTCAGGGCAGAAGAGAGAACTCAAGCACACTGGAGTTGATGGTGTGATGGGTGGGAGCTGGGAGAAGGTGGTGAGTCCCACGTGACAACCTTAGAATCTCCTCACACTTGGTGGATTGTGGGTAATTCATGCAGCTTGAGAGACCAGCACATGGGATGGTGGGACTTTCCTGCATTCCCCATGGGAAAGACTTCCTCCATTCAAGGGCATCCTGAGCTGGAGGCCAGGCCCCCAGTGACACGCCTCCGCCTGTACCTTCCTATTTTACACATAGTCCAGCTGAGCATAGGGTTACCAGCCATGTCCTCGGCTTCCCTGTCTTGTATGGTTGGTATTGGAAGAGGAAGGTGAGAAAGGAGCAAGAGGTCGCGGTGGGCCGGAGCAGCCGAGGGCCGGGGAGTCATGTTGCATCCTCAGGGACAGGATGCCAGTAGGGGCTGTGCACCACTGACTTTGCTTTACAAACACGTCAGGAGAACCAAGAGGATTCTGCAGAGGTGGGCAAGTGCTCCTGGCATGCCCAGGGGTACCTTATGGTTCCCTTTGCGTATCTAAGGCCAGACCACCTTCACAACTGGAGTCCCCAGCTATGCAAGGATAAGAGAACCCAGCATGCTGGGCAGGTCAGCACTGGGACGTGGCGTGCAGGCCTAGGGCAAGGTGAAGATGGCACTCTAGAGGGCGCAGCAGTGGGTGCAGCTGTCATGGTCTTCTACAGCCAGCCATGGTGCAGGGTATGTCTGGGGGTACAGGTGGGGCAGTCAGCCTAGAGCATGCAAGACAGAGGGTGCCCCAGCCATGGAGAATGGGCTGGAAGCAGGCACTGGCACGAGCAGCCTCACAGCATGCCTTCCGTGGCTGAGACCCCCAGCTACGTGGGAGCGTGGCAGGGGCACAGTGACAGAGGGGGATGTCCCCAGCTGCCTCCAAAAAATTAACAGCTATTGGAACTGGGTTGCATCCTCTAAAGTGCTTTTAATCTGCCAGAGACATTTCAATCATGGTTCTGCTTCCTCAGTTTTTCCCCACACCACAATCATAATAAACATTTACTGAGGAATCGAGTAAGTGCTCAGTTCTTTATATTAACATTGTCTGTGTCATCGTGTCATCCTCACAGCACCCCTCTGACACAGGGGCTGTCATTATTCCCATTTTATAAATAAGAAACTATGGCACAGACAGATTAAGTGATGTGACTGGTAGAAGATAAAATCGCTCCCACCTCACACAAGGAGTTGATGCCCCACCCAGCCCCATCCTGGCTAGTCAGTTGCAACCTGATGTGGGCAGTCAGACATCTGTGTGTTGGAACAGTGGGTCAGTGGGTGACACCAGCTGGTCTGACAGCATGGTCTGATGAGCCGATCTTTGGCCAGCCTGACCTAGCCAGCAGGAGTTCTAGATCCTTCTAGCATGCCTTCCATCTTTCTCTCTCTGCTCTACACATTCACAGGTCTCCTCAGAGTCCTCCGGAGGCACCTTCATCTACCAAGGCTCCGTCAAGGGCCAAGGCTTTGGGCAGTTCGGCTTTCAAAGACTTGGTAACTAGCATCTGCCCCTTGGAAGTGGGAGCCCCAGGGCTGGGAGGGAAGCCGTGGGTGGTGGGGGTGGGGGTGGTAGGGATGCACTACAGTCTGAAATGAGATAGCCTCTTTTGGATCAGGTACGCCTTTGAGATTACGAAAAAAACTGTGGAATCTCCCTGCACAAATAACACATTCTCATGACACTCTCAACCTCTGCCAAGCAGTTTCACACTCAGAACCTTGGGGTGAGGACCCCCAGCTCCAGGGACAGTGGGTCTAGACACAGCCCCCAGTGACACTCTCTGGCTGGCCCTCAGGCATTGCCTCTGCCTCAAGGAACAAAGATATCCTGAAGCATTCAACTTGGGGTCCTCAGCAGCACCTTCACCTCCTTAGCGCAGTCCTGGGGGGGCAGGCATTGTTGTCCCCATTCTACAGAGGAAAATACCGAGCATCAGGTTCCCTCGTCTGTCCTAATGTTTCATGTCATCCATGCAAATGCCTACACGTCAGAGCCGGCCTTGACCGAGACCCTCTGGTGGGGGGAGGGGTCTTGACTTCTCAGAAGCAGTGGAGGGGAGACAGGAGATGTCCTGGGTGTATGAGAGCCATGGTATTCCTGGAACTGACGGCCCCAGCCCCAGGGCCCTGCCTGCCAAGGCAGTCCCTTCCATTCCCTCCATCTCTGAGCTCCAGAGGGCATCTCTGCACTAAGCAGCAGCCCACCTCCCTGCCTGCTCACCACACTGCTGCTCCCCAGAGCTGCCTTAGCTTTGCCCTGGGAGCTGCATGGACTAGACCACTGTATGCCACACAGGCCGCAGCCCCCCATCCCAACACACAGGGGAGACCAGTGTTCTGGCTCCCTGTCCCCTCTCAGAGCCCCGGCCCCCTCAGTTAGGGGGGTTCCTAACAGGGGCCACAGGGTCTAACTGTGATCTCCTGAGCCTTCCCAGTGGGGGGAGGGGGGCCAGGAAGGAGGGAAGACCATCCAGAAGGTGACGCATCAAGGTGCCCTCCCACCACCACAGCAGTTGTATCTTCATCTGTCTTAATTTTAGCTTCCTCGTAAGTTTTCAACTGATAAAAAGCTCCTATGGCCAAAAAAGTTTAGAAACTTCTAAGGGGCTACAGGTACCCTTTTAAGATCTCATTCTGTGACGTGGTTTCGGATCCCTCTGCAGAACTTCATCCCCAGGACTGAATACAGTCCTCTGGATGTGATGTGAACGCAAGGCGGAAGCACGTGGGACTTTCTCCGGCGAGGGCAGGGGCGGGCTGAGTGCCTGGGAGGAGGCAGGTGGGGGCTGTGGGCACGCGGCACGCCCCCCTCGGCCCCACCCCTACTGAGCTGGAGAATGGACTAGCCCACTCTACAGACCCCGGCCCCCAGAGCATGCAGAGGCACAGGGTGGCCGGCAGAGGCACAGGGTGGCCGGCGGAGGCCTACACGCCAGCTGTGTTGCTGTGACTTGACTTTGTGCTTTGGAACTTTACAGACCTCAGGCTGTTGGAGTCAGACCCTGAGTCCATTGGCCGCCACTTCGCTTCCAACAGCAGCTCCGTGGCAGCCGCGATCCTGGTGCCTTTCATCGCCCTCATCATCGCGGGCTTTGTGCTCTATCTCTACAAGCACAGGTGCGCAGGGGGAACCGGCGCGGGCCGGGAGGGCGGCAGGCAAGCGCCAGGTGGAGCCTTCTTGGCTCAGGAGAGCTGTCACCTTCTGGAATGAAGAAAGGCCTCCTTCTCGCTTACTGTCCCTCTCTAGACCCTCTAGTCTCTCTGTGTCACCCCCTCTCTCTCTCTGTCATTCCCAGGAGAAGACCCAAAGTTCCGTTCAATGGCTATGCTGGCCATGAGAACACTAATGTCAGGGCCACATTTGAGAACCCAATGTACGACCGCAACATCCAGCCCACAGACATCATGGCCAGCGAGGCGGAGTTCACAGTCAGCACAGTGTGTACCGCGGTATAGCCACCAGACCCGGCCGCCTCCACAGCCACCGAGAGCCCCGCCTCCAGCAGCTGGTGAGACGGGGTTGTGGGAGGCAGACGGGCCTCAGGGGACACAATCAAGGACCAGTGCTTGCGCAGGCGCCCCACACCGCGGTGTGGCACCCACCGGCCGGGCAAGCCTAGCTGGGGAGGACTACACCTGAGGGCGCCAAAGGCGCGGCTAAGCCCCGCCCTCTGCCAGCTCATTGGCGGAATCCCCAAACCATGTGACAAAACTCAGGCCCATAGAAGTGAATCCCCTTGACCAAGGTTACACAGCTGGTAGGGGCAATGATCAGAATCCATTCTCAAGCTGGCTGGCTCTGGAGACTGTGCTCTTAACCCCTGGACCTGGCGAAATGTCTAAGCAGAGTGTATAAGCCAGAGTTCTCCAGAACAATATAATCAGTAGAAGATACTACACACGTATGTATCTATCTCCTCTGGGTCAAGGCCAAGTTCTAGAGAGATACGACAATAGATAGTATCTTTGTATATCTCCATATCTGCACATTTATCTTCTGCAATTGCAAGAGGTATTCAACATGACTTGTATTCATCTTTTATTGGTGTATATTATTACAATTTTAGTACAGTTTTTTTCCTTTCTTAAAATGTGTATGCATGTTTTTGGCACTGTGTGTGTGTGTGTGTGTGTGTGTAGGAAGGCTGTCCAGAAACTTTCCAACCATTGTTAATACGCTTTTTTCACATTACATAGCTGGATACTTTACACACACTATACACACTATCTATGTCTCTCTATCTGAAGATGTATATGCAGCTATAGTTATACATCGAGAAAGAGATGTATATATTTATATATGTACATGTCTTATATACAGAGATAGAGATACAAATAGATATATAGGGTTCCCATAAAGTTTGTGTGCAATTTGTGCAATTTTCAATAGTTGCTTATTTTGAATTGCACGTGGACTTTATGTATACCCTGTATTTATAGAGAGCAAGAGATTTATTTTAAGGAATTTCTTGGCCAGGCAGGCAGGAAATTGCAGCAGGGATTGATAATGTGATGCTGAATCTGATGGCAGCCTGGAGGCAGAAAAAGGACACTCCCCTCTGATAAGATAAATCAGGCCTTACAGGTGATCAGTGGTGAGTCTGAAAATCAAGTCGCTGCAGGAATCATTAACAGTCTAAGAAAAGTCAAGACAACCCCATGACCTGCACACACACACCTTCACTCCACCCCGGGGCTCTATGAGGTCCCAGCTGCCTGTGTGCAGAATGCTCTAGCCTCTGGGTCAGCTGGGTGACTCCAAGTCTAGGAGGCTTTCAAAATTGTCTCTTTGCTAGAAGCCAGGGACTCTAACCTCTTCTGCCCACAGCCAGAGTGCAGGGAAAGCATTGCTTGGCTGAGGGCGGGATGCATGAAGAGCCACACTGAACAGACCCGTATGTTTAAAATGTAGATTAGATGTTAGGTTCAAATGATGCCTAATAAGAACAACTATAATTAAAATTAAAACCCTCTCTAAAGCTGGGGTAGGGGGCTCATATCTGTAACTCCAGCACTTTGGGAGGCCAGGCAGGAGATCCCTTGAGGCCAGAAGGTCAGACCAATCTGGAAAAATAGTGAGAAACATCTTTACAAAAAGTTAAAAAATGCCAGGCATGGTGACATTTGCCTATAGTCCCAGCTACTCAGGCTGAGGCAGTAGGATCACTTGAGTCCAGGAATTTGAGGCTGCAATGAGTTATAATCACACCACTGTACTCTAGCCTGGGCCACAGAACAAAACCCAAACTCTAAAAAAATAAAAACACCCCACCTGGATCAGGGCTGTGTTTTGATCTTTGTGGGCCCCTCCTCCATTAAAAAAAAATAGTTAAAAGTAATACTTTATAACTCTGTTGCTATAAAGATGAATACAATCCAGGCTGGATCCATTATTACATAGCAATTATCATTCTACTCATTTTTTTCTTCTGATTTTGAAAACAATAAAAATAAAACATTTTCCTGGACCCCACCGGCTCACATGTGCCTAATGGGCTGGTTGGTCCTACAAGAGAAAAAGACAACAATTAGAAAGATGGATGTCCTGCTGTGTGTATTCCCTACCTCCACCCCACCCCCAGTTTGGGAAGATTAAAAATGAAAGATGCAGATGGAAGTGACCGATTCTCTGTCCTTCTTTCTCCTTTGCTCCTTCTTTGCTTTCACTCTCTCCTCCCCACCCCCTTGCCTCTCTCTCTGTTTGTCCCCAGCTCCCCACAGGGGCAGGACGCAGGCTCCCAGAGCACAGCGCCCAGTGCCCATCTCCGTCCGTCTCTCCACCCACGTCTGCTACTGCTGGGACTTGCGCCCTTGCCCTGCCACCATCTGCGCCCACCACCCTGGAGAGGACTCCTGCTGTCCCCTGACTGGGGCAGCGAAGGAAGAGGGGCTGCAGACGGAGGAAGGAAGTTATGTTTCTACAACAGCAAAGCAACCTGTGGGTGTGCATGTGTGTGTTCAGGTGTGAGCACACACACACACATGCCACTCCTTCATTCGTGTCCTGTGGAAGAGACACAAAGGCTTCGGGAAGAGACGTGCGTGTGGAAGAGGCCATGTGCCCTATTTCCTGCAACACAGAGAAGGGGTGAAGACAGGGAGGCGGAACCAACTTGCAAGGCAGCGCGCCCCCTGCCCATCCCACGGGTGAGCACACAGCGAATGCACCCGTAGGACGCACCCATGTGGTCAGTGTGCAGAAGCCAGCCGTCTGCTGATGGATGGTCCCATCTTCTCAGTGACGGCAAGGATTATCCCAAGGGCAGGAAATAAGTCTTCAGAAATAGTTTGGAAAACAGTTTTTTCATTTTTTTTTTCCAAACATAATTGTGTTGAGTTCTAAGCCCAGTGGATTAAAAACGTCATTTGGAACCTGGGCAGTGCTGGAAAAAGAAGGGTGGGTCAGAGGTTTGGGGGGTATAGGGCAGGAATCTGGCCAGAAGCCCAAGGTCAAGTCTGGCTGTCAGTGACAAAAAGAAGAGAAAACAAGTCTGTGGCCCAGACAGAGACACCAGGTCTGAAGGCAGCAGGAGGGCGCTGGGAAGGACAGGAGAGAAAGTGACCCCGTGCCCAAAACATAATGGCTACCAGATACTGGGTTTCTTCTCTGTCCCTGTCATCCACTTCCGTTATTTCCAGTCTGTAGATTACCAAAATGTAGGAGCTGTTATTCCTGTTTTATGCATAAGAAATCAGAAGCCCAGAAAGGTGAAGAGACATGAACCACAGAGTTAGTGTGGAATCAGAAGGCGAACCCAGATTAGTCTGACCCCTAAGTGTAGGGCACCAGCAACCAGAAAGACCAGTAAGCCCAGTCGAGAAAGGGCAGCCAGGGCAAAGAGAAGCAGGTAAATCTACAGTAGCACTGTTGCCAGGTCTGGCAGGCCAAGCAGGGTACTGGTGTGTCCTGTCTGGGTCCTGCTCTCTCTACACGGGCAGGAGCAGGGCAAGAACCCAGCATCCTAAGCTTCCTGGGGTTGGTGCTGGTCCCTTGGCTCCAGGTAACTCCTGAATCAAAAAAATGGAGTGACTGAAGTCACGCTCTCCAGCTCCTTGCAAGTGGATTTGATTTCCTTTGACAGCTTCATTGTGCTTGGGTCACTCATAAATTCCATATGGGTATCCTTGGGAAGCTAACAAGTTTAGGAAACAAAGTATGGCATTTAGAGCCATTTTCTCTGTCCTTAGGAAGATCCCCATGGGCTTAGGCACCTATGCATGTGTGACATGCAAGCCTCAGATGTTAGTATCATCTATGGAAATAATAAAACAGAAATGTGTGGGAGTAGAGGGGCAGGGACACTTGGTTCTTAAGCATATTCTAGGTTGGAACAATGAGAGTTCTGACTGATGTTAAGTTGGCTAAAGAAAGTGTCAGTGTCTGGCAGATGCAATGCAGGTTGGCAATGGTAGGAGTCCACCCCTGGTGCACCCTGCTGGGAGCCAGCACCCCAGGCCTGGCAGGAGAGGACGGATCCAAATACACACTCATCTCTTTCTTTCCCTGGAAGCAAATGCAGAAAGCTCTTTGATGCTGCCTTCTCCTTCTTATACTCCCTTAGACTGCCCAGTGGGCTCCTGCCCCAGGCCTGCCTCCACCCTGTCCCCCATGTCTCCTTGTAGAGTCCCACAAGATGCACGAGGAGCATCTGCTGGTGGGGCGCCCAGCACCCTGCTGTGCGTCACCCTCTCCACCTGGTGTTTTCTCTCACCTCCAGAGGCTTGGAAGGGGACAGGGCAGATTAGGCTCTCCCCCCTCCACACCATTCACACATACACCCACCACCATCCCAACAGGAAAAAAAAAGTAAAACAAAAACAAAAAAAATCTTTTGTACAGAGATATATTTTTATTATACAAAGTTTGTACAGTACCAAAAAAGAAAGAAAAAAGGTGTAAATTTTTTTTCATTATTGTAGGTAAATGATAGTGGAAGCCTTTTTTGTAAATGTAATAAAATGTATAAATATGGTTTTCAGAAAACATCCAGTGCTGTAAATATGTAATCTACACACCTTCTTGGCCTGTCTGCAGTATATACATTTAATTTATCTGTCTCTGTATATGAGGCTTCCCCCTGGGGTCCTGCATTATGGTACTTTCCTGAATTTGAAAGCAATTTTAAATTTTTTGAATTCAAATAAAATATAAATTTTTGCATTGGTTTTCTTACATTTTTATGGCCTCTTTTATGACTAGGGCCACATGTTTGTTGGGGGGAGGGGTGGTCATACATATTTGAGACTAAAACCAAGAGTGGAAATGTGGAAGTGTCTTTCTTAATTGCATAGTGTTGCCACTGCAACATGCTGGGGACTCCCAGGAAATCCGATGACTGGATACACCATATACGAAAGTTAACTCAAAATGGATCAAAAACCTAAATGTAAAGCCTAAAACTCTTATAAGAAAACAAAGGGGAAAGCTTCACAGCATTAGATTTAGCAATGATCCCCTGGATATGACACTAAGTCTATAAGTGACAAAAGAAAAAATAGATAAATGGAA